TCTGGTTCTCACTGGGCTGATTCTATCAAACACACTACAAACCTTTACGGCATGTGTTTTGGATCGTATTCAGGGGGGAAATTATCCTCCATGTCAACATGGGCTTCGGTGGGTCACCTAGAATCATAATTTGAGGAAATATCAACCCCCACTTCCCTTTCAAGGAGGCTAACTTCCCTAACTTGTTTTTTTACCTCCTTGGCATTGCATTTGCATTTGCATGATGAGTTCTTTCATAGCCATGTTTTGGTGTGTGATATTTCTCATGTTAGCAGCCATAGTTGCTATCTCCTGGGTGAGTTGAGCAGCTACCTTCATTCCACCGCGCCTATGGTGGTGGTGGGGGCGGCGCCCACTCGTTGGGGCTGTTGCTTGTGTAGTCTATTCGTTGTGGTTTTCTCTTACCCTCGTGGAAGGAACATTATGATCTGAACTCATTTTTCCTCAGTTAAACTGTTGGATTTTTCTAACTTTTGGGGTTTCAACTTGTTCTTTTTCAAGAGTAAATCATTTTTAAGGGGGATTCCCATCTATTTTTAGGCAGACTTTTTTCATGGGAATATCCGTGGTCATAATGGCATTTTCCACATACGCGCCAATTTGTTGACCTCATTTTTCGGATCGTTGACGTAGACAATAGATACCTAGCCCACCCGTTTTCTCTCGAGCTAATTTCAACATGCGTGAACAGATTGTCAATCGATAATATCTCGAATTTGAGCGTGGGAGAAGTTTTATAACACGAGACAAATATGTTCGGATTCCGACAAAATATATGACATAAATTACACGATAATGAATGATCGACTGAGAGCCAAACTCAAGATCAAGATCACAAATCGAACATTAAAAATTTTAGAATAATTAAAAAAAATAAATTTGAATTCAATACTTTAAATGAAAAATTTCACGAAATTTCGTTAGTTCTAATAGAAAATGACAATTAAAATTATCTAAAAAATTTGACAAATAATAAAAGCCTTAATTTATTAAATATATTTGAATAATTTAACTTTTAAAAATAAGTAAAGATTAAAAAATATATTATTGTTTTAATTTAATGAATGTAGGTAATAAAATGAATTATCAAAAACTTCTAAAAATAATAATAAACGACTGCTCCGCCCAATTGCCATGCCTACATAAAAATGATAAATAAGGAATTATATAAAATGATGTGGATGGAAAAAATTTGATGAAAAAGTTGACTGTATTTTAAATTGATAAATGATAAAATGACATGTGGCATTAAGTAATCAATTATATAAAGCTTGATGTATATGTA